ATTATTTTTTATGTGAACTTCAATATTTTTAGTATGCATTTAATTTTGTATGCATTCTAATTGTTCTAAGATGAATGATAAATATAATGTGGAATATTAAGTATTTTATATCTTTTGTGAAACATATGTATGCAAAAAGACATATTATTATAATTTAGGTTGGTAGAGGTTCATACTCTGTGTTGAAGGGTGGGCAAACAAGCTTTTCTTTAAATGCGAGTTAATGGCGACTTGGTGTAAACCAAATGTAGATTAGATATGCGAGGTTGAGATATAATTTGAATGCCAACTCCGTAGCGATGATGAAAATATAAAATCATATCATTTGTATGTCAAATCTTTTGCCTCTTTTAGAAATTTCTGAAAAGTGTATGTGGTTTTACTAATATTCTTAACTTAGGCATGGCATAAATCAATCTTTGGGTTTCATGTTCTTTCATGTTAAATTTGATTTGTCATCAAGAAGTTTATATCATCAAGGTCATTCAAGCATGAATCTTGATGCATTTCGAGCAAGAAATATACATATAAGTTATTTGACGTGTCCATTGATATTTGGTGTGTCATCAAGAAGTTTATATCATCAAGCATAAATCTTGATGAATTTTGAGCAAGAAATATTTCAAATTCAAATTCAAGATTATTTGGTCCCAATTTCAACAAGTTTATAGTCAAATTGAGTGTCTTGACAAGACAAATCTAATGACACAAAAAACGATCCAATTCAAGTCCAAATATGCCCAGATCAAATATTTAAAGTGTGGTTAAGGCTTTGGTGCATCAATTGAAAGGTCAAACAATCTTAAAATTTTGCATGCTTGTATTCAAATTGAACGACTCGACGAGAGGAATCCAACAAGTTCAAGATCGTCTAATGGAGTGTTTTGAGAGATTGATCAATTTTACCAAAATTTCATTCTTAAAAACTCTAAATCAATCACAATTCTTTACTTGAATGGAGGTGGACGAGAAGTGTGGGATGACTATTAAAGCTTTTTTCTTAAAGTCTTAGAGGTTGTCATCAAACTTCCTAGATCGTGGCCGACTCTTAGAGTTGAACGCCAATCACCAGAGATCGCCATTGGTCACTAGAGGCCGCCGTCGACCACAAATCGTTGTTGAACACCACCAATTATGACTTTGATAACCAAACTATAACTATTATAACCTCCTGCAACTACGACTTACGTAACAAATTACCACTGTTATAGCCACTTACCACAACATCTATGGTCAATTATGACTTCTATAGCCAACTATGGCTATTATAGCCCTACCACGTTTTTTATAGTTAGACTACAATAGTTATAGTCCCAATTACCCTTCACAGTTATATGTGTTAGGTTATTTCAAAACAATGATTATTTCAACATCTTGTAATTTCATCTTTTGATAATCTAGGTAAAGAGTAAAATGTACTTTTGATTACATAATTAATTATTTTAACTAAGCTAGACCCCGTGATTTTTTCTCTTTCAAGAGTTATTTCATATAAAAAATTTTTGTGTTTCCTCTCATGACTTTTCTTTTATTTGTGCGTGTGCTTGATCTTTTTGTAGTACTAAGACGTCAAACTATCACTAATGTCGTAAATTTTCTAGCATGCAATAATATTCATCTTCCCCAATCGGTTGATATGTCTTGTATAGCCTATTCCTTAAAGGTTAGGATTTAATAAAGAATTTGTGATAGGTGCTCATGGAGTGCTTTTGCATTGTTTCTCTAGCTTCAAGGAGTTGCAAGCACCCTCTTTCTGTCAGTTTAAAGGATGAATGCCTTTGCAAATTTATGGCCCCATGTTTATGTTTCCTTTTTTAGAAGTTAAGAGCCCATGATTTGTCCTCTCTTCTTTGTATAAAATTTCAAGCTACTTCGCACTTTTGGTTTTTTTTTGGTGTAGTTCCTCTTTGCAACACTTGTTGAGCTGAACTTGCATACCCTTATAGCTTTAGTGACCCATTTGTTTTTTCCTTGGTTGATAACCAAATTTATTGATGTCTATCTTATCATGTTTGCCTCCCCCTAATTGAGGAGATTGTTAGTCTCACTTCTAAATCTTTTTTAATATCAAGTTGGTAAATCCTCTTTTTAATCCCATGCTTAGTATTCACTAAGATATGCGATTTCTCTTTTTTATAGGAAATAATGAACATTTATAATGAATTTTCAAACTTTTGTTGAGTTATCACCCCATGAATCTCATTATGTTCCATGGCTGAGTTATCACTTTATAAACCTAAATATTTTTGGCATCCTAAGTTCCATCATATCATCATATTGAGTTACACCTTATGTCCTATACTATTTTTAAATTGATGACAACCCAATGTTCTATATATCTTTTAAATCGGATTAACCTCATGTTTTATACCTTTCTTAGGTTGGTTATTATCCCATGTCTTATATCCCTTGGGCTGATTTATTACCCCAAAGTACTAGAAGACAAATAACTCGATGACTTACAGTTAAACGATTGATGAATAAAAAAAAAAACCGACAAAGACAAACAAAAGTGGAATAGATTCACCGAGAAAATCAGCCGAAGCAAACCAAGTAGACAATGTAACACAATCGAGGAAATCAACCTAAGCAGACATTGACAAATCCGGAATGAACCCGTGTATAAGATGAAGGATGAAGTTGCAAACAAATTGCTTCCAGAAGAAGAGAAGAAGACAAATTCGACAAATAAGTCGATGGAGATGAAGCTTTGACTGATGTTCTAATCTCGTCGCAGGGAGAGAAAGCTTCGATCGGGATAGAAAAGGCCACATGATGCATACATAATTGTCATGAGTTAAGGCCGCACTTGCTTTGACGAACGACACAAAATTTTGAAGAGGAAGCTTCGACGAATGATGCAGTGCAGATCAACAACGCAACGATCGATGCCGATGAAGACGATCAACATAGTCAAGGCCGCACTTGTGTGCGAGAAATGAAGCCGAACAGAGAAGGCAACTAGCCGTGCGTATCTTTGATACCATGTGACTGAAAAACTTTTTTTCTTCCTATTATTCAATTGAAAGCATATATTACATATTTATATGCTTCCAACTCTCTAGATTAGGAGTAACTCTAATATAGAAAATATCTTATAATTAGATCTCCTCTGTCTAATATCAAGTTTTCTAATATACAAGCTTCTTAATATACAAGATTTAGATTCACACTTTTTATTTATTTTTTCAAATAAATCGATCTATTATTAGTGTATTTACATATCAATTTAATGCAACCTTTCTCTTGTTTCTTTATTTCAAGAACAAATTTGTTGGTACTTATGTTATATAATTACTAGATAGCTTACTCGTGATTAATTTATTATTTTTATTTAATTGGTGCTAATTAGTAGGATACTAATCTCAAAATTGTTAAATTGCTCGTTTGTTTAGGTTTAATAAATTATTTTCTTAATGAGAAGTAATGTATTCGTTTGAACTTTTTGCTTGTTTATTTATTTATCTGAGTATTCTTTTCATTTAATTTAGGAAAATCAAGCATGGTTATAGAAATTTTAAACAAGCATATATGTGAACTCTTGGGTTGAACTCGAACCGAGCATGAATATCAACTCTGATCTATGATTTCTATATGATGTCTAAGGAATAATGAAGGGATCGCTATGTTTATAAGATATCAATGAAGGGGTAAAATGTGAAAACAAAAGTTTGTGAAGGTGTCATGGCGGCGGATGGAAGAAAGAGTGAGGAAAAAGAGTTGGTGGTAAAAAGGAGGTATAAGAATGTCAATACGGTTCCACCACCTATACTCAATCAGCTTGAAAGCGAAGGCTACAACACTCTGAAAACGGAGAAAATCTGAGAAACCAGTCTCTAATAGCATAAAAATCAAGCAGAAGTCTAATAAGTGGTTTTAAACATCATATTTATACTAAGGAAGAAAAATTAAATCTATTTCTATGTCTAAGCATGAAAAATAGAGCCCTAAGGGGGGTCGGCCTGTTGAACTGGTCAGGTCTATGAACCGGACCCAGGCTGGCTCTGCCTTCCCTGATTCACCTGGCAAGCATGGTCAAAAACTTTGTAGTATGACCAAGTCAAGCCTTTTCTATGTACTTGGGTTGGCTCAGTTGCAATCCTACTTATTCCTGTTTTTTAAATTTGTTTAACTGTTGGATTTGTATGGTAACTGAAATATTGTTAAGATATGTGCCAATTTTTTGTTTGGAAGTATGAAACATGATAATTATTGAAATTTTATAATCATTATTATTTTTCTTATGAAATTTCACATTTTAGTTAATTGTTAAATTATGTTTAAAATGAATAATATATGCTTTTTGTTCTTACATTAAAAGCATTTTTTGGCTAAACTTATTAACCTGTGCATTTTGAATCCAAAGCTGTATTAGAAACACCAGGTACTTAACAGTCCTGCATCACATGACCATACTTGCAGCTCATGGCTTGTTTTTAAATCTTTGCAAGAAGACAACTTAATTTCTTTGATAATTTCCGGCGAAGTACTTTGGAATAGTAATTAAGCTGACCCTAAAAATGCTATTATTGCTGTTGATGATGACGAACTTGTTGACAATGAAGATGAAATTAAGATGATTATGTGACGATGTACCAACCCAATCATTCCTTTTTGCTAACACTTGAGGATACGGTTGATTTTATAGGAGATAAATGTAAAATGTCACTGCTGAAGTGCGCCTTCTAATCTTCTTATAGGAGAAAACTGTATAATTAGTCTCCTAACTTTTTCCAAGGCGAAATTTAATTCCAGAGTCTATAAAAGTGTCTATTTAGTCCTCATACACTTTTTAATATGTGCTGAAATAGGCTTCAAAAAGGATTATTTTAACCCCAATTTAAATAGTCACGAGACTAATTTGGCACTTTAATAGACTCTGGGCTAAAACGGCCCCACGAAAATAGTTCGAGGACTATTTCGACACTTTACTTCTTATAGCCATATATTAGCTTTTACTGGTTTCTTTTTAAGCTTGGAGCAGGTTGAAGGTCGCATACCTTACTGAGAACACAACACTTGGTTTAAGGATGCCATTGTCAGCCAGGGAAGAGACATCTCCGCCTGGAGGTCGTCCATGATTCTCCCACCTATCCAATACCCATTGCAGGAAAAAAATAAAAAGTAAAAAACCTTCTTCAAACTGTCTTCTCCTGTTAAACTGAAACTCTATCTTCATGAGGAAAACACTTATTAAGGATTTCACTTACCTCAAAGGCTGAAACTCCATGATTTCTAGCAGCGAGCCATCCATTGTCGTCAAGAACAACCTCCTGATGCACAAAGCAACCCATTTAAGTTAATATCCCAATTGATTGTTTACTTTTATAATAAAAATTTTTCCGAGCAAAGTATCAAGATAGTCTACTGACTCTTTGCAGGAAGGCATTTTAGTTCTTGTGTTTATAAAAGTGCTATTTTAGTCCCATACTCTTTCAATATTGGTTGAAATAGTCCCCACCAAGGATTTTTTCAGACTCAATTTAAAATGTCAGCGGACTAATTTAACACTTTTATAGACTTTGGAACAAAAATGCTCCATTAAAATAGTTAAGGGAATATTTTGGCACTTTATATTTGATGATGAATTCAAAGATCCATGATTAGATTAATGCTTATTTTTTGTCCACATGTACCGGATTACTCACTCTCCATCATGGGATACCGTGCCGGTCTTGATTCTCATGGTTAGGCTTGGTTCTTCTTCTGTAGCATCAATGCTTGGTTCAAATTTCAGAACAAATTCACTCCAGATAGGCTGAGAGTTCTCATTCAATTGCAGCTAAAACACAAATGCTGGAGGTTAACTATCTTGGCATATTAATTAAGAAAGACTTACATACATACCACTCAATTTCGATGCATTTACAATTCCAACTACTAAACTTTTTTCTTTACATTTATGCCGCCTACAGCATGAAAATATGTATTCGTCTTTCTAAAATTCAAAATGATCTTATTTTTAATGCGATGAAAGATTTGGGTTGCATCAATGTAAAAATCAACGTTTTGGTCTTACAGATATGTAAACAGATAGAAATTGGTTGGTATGTTTGTAAATGCCCCTATAATTAATTATTTAGAAAAAAATACATAATTTGGGGAAACTTAAAAAGTACTACTATCAGTTCTCTCTATTCTGTCAAATCTTCTTCTCTTTAGACCTCGCAAGAAACTCTAGTTTCATATTATGCAATTGTTCTGATTTTTTTTTTAAATTTTTTTTATGGAAGCAGTCCTGAAAATTTCAAACTGAAAGAGGATCCAACTGAGAAGAGAAGTTACCTGATAAAGCATCCCAGCTTCAGACAGAGCAAGAATAGTTTGATTGATTATAAAAACTGAAACTGCTGCTCCTGCTGAAATTGGCAACTCATGGGGAGCAACAACCCACCTTAACCCATTCCATAATCGTTCATATATTGATCCACTCAGCCCTGTCACCCAGATTGAAGCTTCTGACATCCTAGTTATAGATAATCTCTTCCTTACAGGCAAAACCTGATCAAACCGCTCCTCCATCTCTTTCCTATAATCTATTCCCTTATTCCTCTGTTGATTCATCGTTTCTGGATTTCCTCCAGTTTTTACCCCCCAATTCTTAATCGATCCAACTTTGCTGCAGCTTCCATTGGTGCACGAAATCAGATCATAAGGTAAACTGATCTCCACCCATCTGTTTGTCTTCTCTTCGAACTCCCAGAATCGGTTTATTCTCTGCTTGAACTCTGTGTTTAAGCTTCTGTTCGGTGGAAGGGGGCACCATGATTGAGCTGAAAAAGCAGAGTTGAGAAGACGAAGGTGAGATGCTATGGCACAGATGGCCAAAAAGTATCTTCCTATGGGAAGGATTAGGGTGCCCTTCCTTCTGCAACTCATGGGAATTGCCTGTTAAGAACCTGGAGAGGAAACTGAGGTGAGTTCTCCGCCATTAATCCATGGAGCTTTTCTCTTGCAGAGGTAGGTGACCTTTCTGGTTTATACCTTCTGGCTATGGCCTAGCAGGAAGTTCTGCTAGTTCAGTCCCACGTTCCTTTCCACATGAAATAGGCTTCTAGGGGCCCTGTAGATTCTTTGGTAAAGAATATTATTTTTTTGGTGGAAGATGGGATCTTTTGATTATCAATTTTAGGGTAGTGGCTTTGTAGCCGCCCACAAGCAGCTTAGTGCCAATTAGTAATTCATCATGTGGACGGATGGGCCCCTCTGCCGTGGAAGTAAAGTTTTAAGTTAGAGAAAACGAGAAACTCAAGATTTAGGGGCTGTCTGGTAATAGTTTTAGTAAATCTTGTAAATTCAGATTTACTAAATCTCGCTAACACTAGGAATTAGTAAATTTGGGATTTAAGAGAAAATGGAGAGGATTTGAGAAGAAATTGGATTTACTGAATTTAAGATTTAAAATTTACTGCTTTTTTTTTATGTATGGCAGATTTACCCCTTAGGCTAGATGTCGAACTAAATCCCAAATTAGTACTCTGACGATCAACACATCATCAATTTAATCTCCGAGTTTTAATGTACCCCATTTTAATCCAAAATATTAAAAATTGATCTAAATTAGTTTCTAGGCTAAATTTCTTTGTTAACAAGATCCGTTAACTTTGAAGGTATTTTAAAAATACGAATTTTAAATTATATATTATTTTTATTATTACACGATTTTCATATGTAATAGAGCAATAATAAAACTAAAATTTCATTTAAAATTTTTATTCCTAATAAGTTCACGGGCCATTAACTTTAACTATGAAATTCAGTATAGGGACTAATCTGGACCAATCTTTAATAGTTTGAGACTAAGAGTCTGTTTGGGGCAGCTTATAAGTGCGGGTGACGTTTTCAAAACGCCGTCTCACCTTTTGAAAAACACGATTCGACTGCTTATCCGAAAACGCGGTTGGGTTTTTACACTAAACGCAGACCGCGAGTCGACCCCTCGACCGGCCCGCGGGCCGCATTTCAGGATAAGCAGTTTATCCTGAAACGCACAAGCTGCCCAAAACAGACCCTAAAATGAAACACTCTAAAACTCTGAGATTAAATTAATAACACTTGTTGCTAGTCGGGAGGACTATCTTAAGTTTTGCTCAAATTTTAATCATAAAATATATGCCAAATAATTTTTTAGGATTTAACTAACTAGATGTAACCTCTAATTTTTTCAAGATTAATCAACTTTAGATTTACTGGATCTTACTTATTTGTTTGTTTCTTTATCTTTGCATAAAAAATAATTGGGCTTCTGTATCAGTTTTTTTAACTATTAGCCAATTGTGCTGTTCGTTGAGCTAACATTTTTTGGTTGCAGGTATGGTTGTAAGAAAAGCATCCCTTTCGAGTGAGCTAAGCTGCTCATATTTTCCGAAAAAACAAAAGTTGATCATACTTTCAAATGGAGAAAGTCCTAAATGACCGGCGATGTAAATCTTATTATTTCTGAGGTAAGCAGATCTTTTACCTTTTTATAATGGACTTTATTGTCAAATATTACTCATCCTGATGCTACCGTTTACTATATTATCAGTTTACCCCCCTAAATTAAGCATTTTCGGTGTATTTTATATTTAAAAATTTAAATTTTATTAATTTTGTGTGGTGGGTGTGTGTGTATTAAAAAAAAAAAAAAGTCACGGGCATATGCTTATTGATATATTTTATTAATCAAGATAAAAAAATATAACTCGAAATAAAGGTGTAAATTAGTCGAATCGAGCTCAAGCTTGAGCTTGAACTTGATTAGTTTTATTGAGTTCGAGTTCGAGCTCGAGCTTGAGTTTAATTCTACAAGTTTGAGCCAGCTCACGAGCCAGTTTGTTTATTATAAAAGAGATAATAATATTGATTTATGATAGTGTCATAATAAAATTACAAATAGAATGAAAAATTAGGAGAGAAATAATAACAAATCACTTAATATACAAAAAATGTATATTATTTTTAAAATATTTTTATATTTTAAAATAAAGTCTTTAAATTTAATATATTTTAAATATATTTTATATAAATATATATATTTTTAAATGAGCTGGCTCACGAGCTAATAAGCGAGTTAGGGCTAGCTTGAGTTTGGCTTGTTAGCTCATGAAGTTCAGTTCACGAGCTATTTATCGAGCTGAGCTTGAGCTGAATCCCGAGTTGGCTTGACTAACTCACACTCCTAACTTGAAATGCATAACATTTTTATGTTTAATTACATATTGTTTATGATTAATCATAATTATCTTCTTTTAAAATTAAAATTATGCTTATCTAATATTTTGATTTATCAAATCATATTAAAATTTTTTGAGATTGTCATAAACTAATCGGTTATTTTAATCATATTTATTATGTATTGTCCTGATTTTAAATTCAAATTTTTACCTAAATACAATTATTTATAGAGAAATTTACATATATATATAACACAAAATTCTTGTTATACTTACACATCTAACATCTAGAGTTTGATATTTACAATAGTGTCATAAGCCTATTCATGAAAAAAAATATTTACTATTGAGTGTCATATTTTTATTTAATAATAATACCTTAAAATTGTTTTTTTTATACAGATGTCCAAGTCTTTTTAGGTCAACCTCTGCCTTTCTACACATAATTTGAATCTAAAACGTTTACTCTCCTACCGGATCATTAGATGATTGACGTTTAATGTGACTAAATCATCTAAGATGACTCTCTAATTTTATTGGAGCTACACCAATTCTATCACCAATATATTCACTTCGCATTGCGTCAAGCCACTCACAATTGTTAAATTTCAAAAAGTTAACAATTGGGATATTTTTGTTATGATGTTAAAATTTTAAATATTATAAATATAGATATAAAGGTCTAGGTGTTATAAATACACGAGAATTATGTGGCAGGCGTGTAGAATTTTTATATTAATATACTGTCATTGCCTCCTATGGTTAGCTTGAGCCCGTTTCCCTCCGAATCTCGTTTCCAGGTCTCGGGCATCTTCGTTCTTATCGCCGTCCATTTTCCTTCCATTGACTGGCTTCCACGTGGAAGTTTATTATTGGCAAATGTTAAAATCGCTCCGAGATGGATGGGGCCCACTTTTGGTGTCCATGCTTCCTGAGGAATATCCGGCTGCCACGTGGGAATCTGATGGAATCTCTTTGCCGCACTCTCGTCGATATCGACATTTCAGCACGGGCGGCCCACCGTTCTATCAAAAAACAACGGTCATGACCTTCCGGTTAGTTTACCTCCCATGAATGCTTTTTTTTTTTTTAATTTGTCTCTGCATTCCTTCATCTTTAAGCGCTAAACTGCCAAAGCTTGTTACTTGCTACAAATGAGGAGATTCTAGATCTACAATGGCTAAAGTCAAATGGACAGTTAGCCAGAATCTTTTGCTATTTCTTTAGAAGTGATGAGCTAATAGTTCCCTATTAAATTATAAGAGGATTTGCTTATAATTGTGTGTTAGTTTATGTTTATATTTATTCGAAATAGAAAAAAAAGGAAGAAAAGAAAACAGTTTTTTATTCCATTATATCTTGATTGGTTGAGGACTCAATGTAATCCTAAAATTTATGTTTTTTTGCATGTGGTTGGTCATTTTAGTAGAAAGAGATTTTAATCTCCGTAGCTATAATTAAATGATATAGTTAGAGTGGGCCTCTGCATTACAATTTTTTTTTTTTTTTGGTATGAAAATCTCGTAAAGAGAAAAATTATGGGGTCTTGCGTAGTTGCATCATATAGATCCAATTAGAAGCGTAAGCTAGTCGGGTTGAGCTCGAGTAATGTATAACTCGAACTGGAGCTCGGCTCGTGGTACTAATACTAGGTTTGGAAATGAAATTGCTATGGGAGCTCACCAAAAAAGTCGTCTAAGTGCTATTTGACAAAAAATGAGAAGTGTTGTTGCAGCTCATCGAATTAGGCATCAACAATATTGATTGTAATCTAGCTAGTCAAGTGAGCTCGTGAGCCAGCGAGCTAAACCTTGAGAAGCTCGAGTTTCTGGCACAATAAACTAAACCGGATACTAGGAGAGAGGATGTGACTTTGACTATGAGTTATAATTAGGGAGATGTATACATTAATAATTTTTGACTTCTCGTGTCGTTCTTTTTTTATCAACTTGTGTCCAGCTTGCGTCTGATGTCGTGTCGGGGCATGTCTCGGATGTTTCTATGTCTAAAAAAATCTTTTTTTTTTTTGCATTGTTGAATAAGTGTTGGGTGTGTGTCCGTGTCCGACACGAGTACGACACTTTTTTACAAGTGTTGGTGCTACATAGTGAATCACTAGAACTTCAAGAAGTTAACTTTTAGATTGATGAATTGTATGAAATTTGAGATGTTGCATCACAATTCAAAATTGTGCAGTTGATGTAGGGAGAGGGTGATGGTTAGGCGTACAACAGATTGCCGCCGCCAAACTTATATTACATGTTATGCACGACCAAGTTGATAGGTGGAAGATGGTGGGGATCAATTCATTTTAGCTTGGTCTAGTTTAATTGATTACTATCTTAAACATGCTTGAATTCAAATGATTTTATTGCCATTGGAATTTGTGAGGCAAGGAAATCATTTTGATTATAAATTTGTGAAACTCAGAGAACATGCAATCTTAAAATTAGTTTTTGAATTAATCATTGAGCATCTTGAGAGCTATAATTTTCATAGAAAATTTTTCCATGTCAATAGAGGATTTTTAACATCACAATAATGTCATATATGAGTAAAATGTCAAAATATTCCCTTGACTATTTACATGGATCCTTTTAGTCCTAGAGCTTATAAAAATGTCAAATTATTCCATCAACTCTTTTAGCATATTCTAAAATGATACCCAAAGTGGATTATTTTATCCCTCTGGAAACTAATTTGACACTTTTATAGACACATGGTCCTCTAAAAAGAGTCGAGGGACCATTTTGACATTTGTTTTCTATTTATATGTTATCTTTTGGAACGAATAAAATTATAATTGACATTTGAATTCCTAGAACCATCAAGATGGAATAAATATAATTGCTGTGCAAAAATTTCAAAATTCTAGAAGGTAAAGCAACATATTCACAAGAATAGAAGAGTATAATGTGGTTCCTCAACTTGCCTATATTCATAGGAAGCAACATACTTAAAATTGAAAAAAAAATACTCACAACTCTTCTCCAGATTGTCTCACGCGTACAAAAATTATTACAAGCTTGAGAAGTTACTTAGAGGACTACTTTCCAATGAAGATTATACTATTTTATATATAGAAGAGTTCATCTCTCAATATTAATGATCAGAATTTTGTGACAAATTTTATTTAAGATTTTCATTATATAAACTAAGTCATCATTTTTACAAACAGCTATGAGGATATTTTCCTCAAAAATCTTTTTTTTTTTCTAGGGATGATTATATACATAGCACCCGAAACACTGCTATTTACAAAATATAGCATCCAAGTGATATTTTGAACAGCCGAACTGATGTATTTATGCGTGTCACAATCAAATCATTGAGAATTCGATAAAAAAAGAAAAATATGGGTTGGTTTTTATCATGAATTTTGATGTTAAAAGTTCAAAAAATGGATGAAAAGTGGTGCTAGATTTGTAAATAGTAATGTTTTGGATGCCATGTTTATAATTGTACTACAGATTTTACATGAAAGCTTTTGTTGAATGCAACTACTAACCTGCCACATAATAAAAAATGGATTGTTTGATATGCAATATTTAAACTTACCGGATGACTTAGGTGAGAGCAAGGTGGTTTCTATTGGCAGGGTTAGACCATCACATCATTATTACAAGTTAATTACTTTATCTTTGTACTTAGAGAATTAATGATAATCTATTAGCATACGCCATAAAATTTATGATGCTGTACTACGGATTTAAATATATCTGAGTATGAATATGTCCGCATTAATTTAGGTGATTTTTTCTTAATATTGTTTATGTTTATTTTTTATTTTTTTTCCTGTCTTTTTCTCATTTTCTACAACACATCATGTGTTATTTATGCTTATATTGCTTTAATGAATAGTAGCTTTGATCTCATTCAAAACATGAGTCTACGAGGAGTTCCTATGCTGTTAACTTTGAAATGATTTTCGAATCAAATACAATTATGAATTGTAAACCCTAATATATCCCTCCACCCTTCAAATTTGTTATATCTTATTCTCACCTATCTCAAAGTTCTAAAATTATTCGTTATCTATTTTGCCTTCCACCAACCTTACACATTTTACCACCACTCGCAGTCTTTTTTCTTGATTCTCTCTCGGGGATAGTGGGGGAGTTGGTTAACTCTACGAAGAAGGTCGATTGGGAAAAAAAAAAAAAACCATAAGCTAGTACTCTAGGTAGTTGTCATAGCTTAGAAATTTCTTACTATTTGATGACTTCTGGTTTGATTTCAAATATCTTGAATTTGTAGAATCATATATTATTTATAGATTTTATGAGTAGCATTTGATCTTTTTAGCTAAAAAACTATAAAATTTGTGTCTATATTAGATGGTTCGAATCATTCACTCCCATTATTTGAAAATTGGGTATTCAAATGATCCCACCCTTGGGCCAACCTATGACGATCCGATCTGGGACTTGGAATTAAACAAGACGGGTACAAACAATCGGATAGTGGAAATTAAATTTTTCATTTTTATTTTATATAACTAACTATTAACGCATAGAAAAGCTACTAATTAAATCAAATTAAAGTAATATAACTAAATTTATCTCATTTTGAGTTGTCCACGTCTTCTACAAACATTATTTTTTATTACTTATCTTTTAATTAATTACACCCGAAAAGTTAGTTTAAAAAACTGTGAGCTAACCAAAACTAGTGATACACATACTCCAAAACTATAGTAATGCAAGAGAAAATAAAGTAATATGCATGTCAGTTTAGTTTTTAATAAATCAATATAAATATTTGATATTTTAAGAATATGACGTTAGACAATGAATCTTACTATATCAATATCATATTCATATCATGATATATATGTATAACTGTTATAAGAACACCGTCTAAAAATTATATCAATTAAAGTATTTCAATATCAGTATCCTATTCCATTTACATGCATGGTACATTGGGTTTCTAATGCTAGTACCATAAAGGGGGGATTGCATTTTAGTCAATTATGCACATATAAATAGTTAATATAAACATATAACATTCATAACAATGTGCAAATAAATAAAAAAATATATAAATCAAAATAAAACTTGTACAATATAAAGTAATACGTATGCCAGTTAAGTTTTTAATAAATCAATATAAACATTTGATATTTTAAGAATATGATGTTTTTCAATGAATCTTCCTATCTCAATATCATATTCATAGCATTATATATATGTACAACTGCCACAAGAGTACCTTCTAAAAATTATACCAATCAAAGTACTTCAATGTAAGTTTCCTTTTCCTGTTACAGGCACGAGTATCTTAGTGTTCCCATGCTAGTACAATAAAGGGTGGACTGCATTTTGGTTAATTATGCACATAAATAATTAATATAAACATATTATTCATTTTAATCTATATATAGCAGTCACCAATGTATTATATAAACATATAACATTTATAACAATGTGATAAATAAAGAAAAAAATATATCAATCAAAATAAAGCTTCTACAAGTATCATTAATCACAAATGCAAAATAGTTGAGAAGAAACATAATATTACTATAGATTAAAAGTACGAATACTCACCTCGATTAATTTGTTATTGAATTTATCTTGAACTCGATTCTTCTAAAATTGATGCTTATAATAAACATGGATATTCATATTATAAAATTTTAATTAATTATTATTTTAATTAGCTATTAAATTTACATTATTTAAGAATTGAAATTTTATAATTTTACTTTATGTAATTCTAATTAGTATTATTATTAATTTTCTTTTATTCAATATATATATTTAAAATTTTACTTAAATAATTAAATTAAAATATTAGAACATACCTTTATATTTCTTGGTGGAGAGCCCTAAGCATGCGGAACCGTCCTCCTCTGGACGTGATCCTTCTTGTTCTCTGCTAGGTAAGTCAATCTCGCCTCTACCGTTCCTCCTACGTTTCATTTTATACACCAAAGTTTCCTTTCGTGTTCCTGCACCTCGCTTCATATCCCCCCTATCGGTTTCCCGACTCCTCGCTTCAGATCCCTTGGGCATTCAAAAGGAGACAACAGACAACCAAAATGGCCCATCTCGACAAAATTTAGTCGACTATAGTGTCTTGAAGGTGGTCCAGAAGTGGTCACTATGGATTTAAACCTTTGATTGACAATCAGAGAGCGCTATTTTGAAGCTCTCAATACAATTAACTCAGTGAAGTTGATAGATCGAATTTTCTATGATTGGACTAATCAAACCAAATCCAATAATATGTAGAAATCAAATTTAGATATGCTAAAAAACTATCAATGATAGGAAACATTCTTGGCATCAAATGTTGATCCTACCTCTAAATGCATTTATTCCATGACCAAGTCGCTCCATTCCATGCTTAAAAATGCTTAGATTTAGACAATTTTATAGTCATTGGAATTTGTGATGTCAACTATAAGTTTAGAAAAATACGCTATTATTGATGTAGCTGCCAGGACATCTACTTTACTTTCTAAATTTGATTAAAGTATTGGGTATTAGATATGTAATTACATAAGAATTGTGTGTGTGGTATGTAAATTTCCCTAATTATTATTATTAAAATGGTTTTGCTGAATGAAACTATTGACCTACCACATGATAAAAAGCTTTTTTTTTTTTGTTGGTGCTATTTGCAACAGTTGAACTACCGGATGACTTCGTTGAGCGCCATGTTGGTGCTATGAGCAGGTTGTTTTTGGTAGAGTTTGTCATCAAATCAATATTGCGAGTTAATCAAGTCATATTTTATACAAAAGAATGAATCAACGTCAGATTGGTAGCACATAGCATGACATTTATGATGTGCCAAGGATTTAAATAAGGGGCATTTACATACATACCACGCACTTGTTTTATATTTACAGATCTGACATGTATAATTTCATATTTACATGTGTACCACTCGAATCTTTAATATTACCTCAAGAGTATCACTATTCTTAATTTTTTAAAAGTGAAATTCACATTCTCATGCATATAAACATCAAATTTTAGATGCTAGATATATAAATACAAAAGAATTTTGTGGCATGCGTGTAACATTCTCTTTAAATAATTAGTAAAAAGCTACCTTGATGGTCATATCTTTTTAGGTGGATTGGTTAAAAAAATTGACTTGCGATAGATGAATGAGTGTGGTGTGCGTGCGCGCATGTGGCATGTTAATATGGTGTTGAATGTGTGGTGCTAATACAAAAAACACATGAATCATATAATAATCGTGTCACACTTGTCGAGTTTAGTCAATTAGGCTTGTATTGAGTTGGGTTCAGGTATGACAATTTGGCATATGTAATGAACACGCACGTCGACTCAAATCAAACGATTTTGGATCGTGCCAAATTTAGTTCAAACTCAAATCTTACCCATTAACCCGAATTTAGTCTTCTTGTCCAAAGGCAAACACAACTGCAACTATTGACTTGCCCATGTGATAGAAGGAATTTGTGCTATATGCAATAGTTGAGCTAACCAGATGACTAATTTGAGGAATAGGTAGATACTATGGGTAGGTTGGTTTGGCAGGGTTGGCCTATCAAGTCTGTGTTGCTAATTATTTACCTTATATTTTGTACATAAATGATATATCACAACCAAGCAATGTTGAGATTTTGTACAATGGATTTAGCCAAGTTGTTAAATAAGTTTTTGGCCCCTTAGATATTTAGCAAAAAAATTCACAATCATATAGACTTCGAATCTAAAAGCCGAGCAAAATCTCGAATCATTGAGACACTGCAACTGTAATTGTTCAAAAGTTAGAAGGAAGTTAGCAACCCTTTTAAGACTAATTGGTTAGTGTTTTTAGACTCAAGTTTTAGATTTTGTGTAAATATGTTTGACTTGTGCTTTAATACTCAATTTTCCTTGCAAAAAGAGGTGGGCATCTACATATATAATTTTTAAATGTTTTGGAATGTCATGTGAGAGTCACCTGAGCTGACTTTGGCTCAAATTATATGGGGACTAATTTGGCTTCACTGATAACAACAAAAACATCAACGTGTATGGATAAAAAATGTAATCATAAAAATACAATTTAAATTTAATGAGTCATCAAGAAATTTTATCATTTAATATAAATCTCGAGAAATTTTTCAACAAGAAACTTTTCATATCCAAATTCAAGATAATAAAAAGCCTTGATTTCAACAAATTTATAGTCAAACAATGATACCAAAATTGGTTCAATCAGAGTCCAATCAAGTCTTGATCAAGCCGCTAAAACACATTTAGAGGCTTCAGGTCATTAATTGAATGATCAAATGAACTCAAACTTTGATAAACTTATAGTCAAATCGAGCGTCTCGACGAGAGAAATTCAGCGAGCCTAAGCTCTTTTAATTTTGAGGTAAATAAGACCTTCAATTCATTAAAAAAAAAAGTTGTGATTCATCCAATCAAGTGGTTATGAAAGTTATTTGAAAAAAAAACCGAAATGCCCCTCTTCAGAGGCTATAAATAGATCCACACTCTTCAATTGAAGCGGAAGGAGAAGAAGGAGAATTCCAGTGTTGTTATGGACTGAAGACTCGATGATAACTACTGCTCACTGTCGGCCGCCTATGTTTGTAATGATATATATGAAATACGACCATAACACATGACATCATATTGAAGATCTGACGAAAATTAATTATAGTGTTTTTATGGATTGAGGGCCCCGCAATAATTTCCAGTCACCGTAGCCGCTCATGCTCTTCGTTTGCGGTGAACCCTATAGCCGCAAATGCTCTTCGCCCGCGGTGAACCCTGCTTGCTAACCCTGTATTCAAAATACAGCTGTGATATATAAAATCGTGTTGAAGATCCAATGATAAATTCCGGTGACCATTGCTTCCAACCGCCGTATTGAAAATATAACATTTCTTTTTCAAACAATTGAAGTTTTTTATACTTTGCATATGTACAAATATTGTACGTGGTGTAAAATTATAACCATGCTCTCATAGTTGTGAGAAAAAAAAAGGTGTTTCATTGTACTTACATTCTTATAGCATATTACTTTGAGCTAAACCCCATACTTTTTTTTCCTTTCAAGGTTTTCACGTAAAAGATCTCTATCTTCTCCTGCTACTGTTCATTTATCTATATAATAGTTAGATCTTTGTGTAACACTAAGACGTTAAATAATCATTCTATCCCCACAAATTTTCCAGCATGCAACTGAACTACCAACACATTACTGCATTGCAGTGCTGACTTTGAGCTCTGCAGCACCGCAGTATTTCGTATTCATCTGCAGCTTATTTATTCTCTTATTATTTAACAAATTTGCAATCTCTCACTCTACTGCTCGCTTTTATAATTTGGTGAAAATAATGGAGATCAGATGGCTTGCTATCTCTCAATTAATGAATAGCTGCTCAACATTTTTTTACTCTGCTTTCATTACTCTTATCATTCACCCATATGTCTTCTTTGAATATCAAGGGGTAGGTGTTGATACGCTAGTTGTAATATGATTTATTCATCAGCTTTAGAAGAAAAACACACTGCAGGATTTACATTAATATGCCAAACATGTGAAATAAATTTAATTGAATTTACTCTTAACTGAACCAAACATAATTATGAATTTAACAGCATCTCGATTCGATAAATTCAGATTTATTGAATTTACTAAATCCTATTTAACCTAAATCCGATTTGGAGCCAACACCCCCTTAGGACCTTACTTTGTTTTCTAGTGCGAGCATGGTGAAAATTGGCTTAACATTTATCGAGCCAAGTACGACTTGGCTTTGAGAAAAAAACTTATTTAAAAGTTAGACATGAATTGTACAATACGAACATCACATGCGAGCGCGCGCGCATGTATCAACAATGCTGCCTTACTAGCATGTTCATATGCTCAATGAGTATCTTGTAAGCAACACAGCTTTAAAAATTTTAATTTTATTCAAAATATATCGAACAATTCTATATATTACATCATATACAAATGAGTTAACTCGCTGAGTTGACATGTTAAGCTGGCTATAAGCAACTCGACTAGGAGCTTGCCTAGTGTCCATGAGCTCATGAATAAGTCGAGTAAAAGTCAGCTCGGCTCATTTTAAACCGACTTAACTCGAATTAGGTCATGTTGAGGCTGAATAGATATTAGAACTGGTGTAGGGTTTATTCTGCCTCAGTGATCTTTTTGTATTCCGACCTTCTCTATGGACTCCATGGCATCTTCAAATGATTTCTACAATTAAAAACAAATAGAATATTAGAATCTTCACCCAAAGCATTAGTTAGTTACCAAAGATGCCACTTGATAAATAAACGATACTCATTTATATTAGTTTGGATGTAAAATTAAATAAATTTAAGGTTTTGAAAATTCAGTTATATTCAAGCGTAAACATTGACTTGATTTGCTTAACAAAAAAAACTTGATAAAACGGACAATATCTTGATGGTTGAGATTCTAGACTGTTACAAATCATTTCAAATGTCCCCTCAAGTAGAATGAAATAAACTCTTAAACATCAAGAAACATTTTGGTGCACGGTTAAGAGTTTCATCAAAAAATCTAAAGTTAAGTATGTTTGTGTGGAAGCACTCAGGATAGCTGGCCTCTTAGGACGTTACAACAACGAGACAAAACCATGAGGCTGCTAAGCCAAAACGGACTATATCTCGCTAAGTGAGAGTTAGAGCTATTACAAATGGTAATAGAGCATAGCATCAATTCAAAGATAAAAATATTTGCATGGTGGATGATCTTGGGATAAGAAAACTTATTGGGACTCCGGTTACTTAAATGTGAGGATTGTGAAATTCCTAAAATAGAATGAAACTGAACTTTTAAACTTCGAGGAGCCTTTGATGAAAAGTTTGGAGTTTCATTAAAAACTCCAAACTTAAGCGTGCTCATGTAGGAACACTCTCAGGATAGGTGGCCTCCTGGGAAGTTATACCAACGAGACAAAACAATGAGGTCATTAGGCCAAAGAAAACAACATCTCGAGCGGTGAGAATCCGGGTGCTACAAAATTAGTTAGGTTTGATTATGCTTCGAACTTATAATAAAACTAACAAATAAGTTAAGAATAGATTTTCAAATAGGTGTTCAAATTTGACTCAAACTTCATAAGAAAATGAATGAGTTAAACTATATAACAAGACGGTATTCAGCTCAACTCGGTTTATGAGACGACGACAACAACAAAAACAAGCCTTTATACTACTAAGTAGAGTCGACTATATAAATCATTTTTCTCCATTGTGTCCTATAGAGTGTCAAATTTTATTTAATTCTAATAGATTAAGATAACTTTTTATACAACACGCTCAAGTCTTTTTAGGTTTGCCTTTGTCTTTCTTAACATAAATCGAATCTAAAACATCTACTCTCATAACCGGATAATCAGATGGTCGGCGTTTAATGTGAACAAACCATCTAAGATGACTCTCTCTAATCGCATCTGCCATTGGAGCTACACCAACCCTTTCCCAAAAAGATTCATTTCGCATTTTGTCTCCCTGGTCCACCTTAGCATTCTCATCTCAACAACACTCAACTATGTTTTATGCTTCTCTTTGAAGGCTAACATTCCGCATCATAAAGCATTGCAGGTCTCACCACCATCTTATAAAATTTTCCTTCAAGCCTAAATGATACCTTTTCTATCTCAAAATAGGCATGATGCATTCCTCCACTCCAACTAACCAACTTGAATTCTACTAATAACATCCCCGTCCATATCACCATCACTTTAAACAACAAACCTGAGATATATAAAATGTTCACACCTTTTTCACGATTTGATCACCTATAGTTATGATGTTGTCACTAGACTACTATTAAAATAACATTCCTTGTATTCAGTTTTGGATCTACTCAAACGAAGGCCTTTAGACTCCGATGTCGACCTCCATATTTCAAGTTTTACACTTAATCTAATCTTATCCACAAGAAGGACATCATCAACAATAAGCATAGATGGTTTATTAGACCTTAATGCTAAATAAAGTGTCCAATTACAAAGCCAAGATCAATCAGAACCCTCCATATTAAATTGATCAACAGATCTAATGCTCAATTATACAAATCATCATTCATCTTCCACCCTCTATGATAGATCAGAATATTAGTCATACGTAAGACATAATTTATTTCCCCTAATTTTTAATGATTTTTCAGCAGTATTCATGAAATGCTAATTCAGAACATAAAAAAGGGGATAATTACATATAGATCACCCCGAAACATTGGTATTTACAAATCAACCACCCACGTAATTTTTTTTTGAAATACTGAACTAATGTATTTACGCTTGCCACGATCCAACAATTGATAATTTGATAAAAATAAAAAATAGGGGTTGTGGTTTTATCATGAAATTGTGATATTTGAGTGAGAATTTGAAAAATGGATAAAAGAGGATGGTTGATTTGTAAATATGAATTTTCAGGTGGTATGTACGTAAATAAAAATGACATACCCCGCTATTGTTTAATCTCCAGACTGCATCCACACTTCTTTCAGCAACAACTGCACCACCTAACAAAATACTGGATAGCTGAAATTTATTAACTTCAAAATTTCTGGAAAATAAAACAAAATATTAATCTAAACCTCATTTATTTCCAAAATTACAAATGTACCACACCATTATGTCAGTCTGCATGAATTTGCAATTATGTCAGTTAATGTATCTTTTATGTCTTAATGTTTGTATAGATGCATCGACATGTAAATTATGCAACTTATATTTATACGTCCATATTATATTCATACATTTGCATACAACACATTTAGGGATTGTTAGGTGTGATTAATACAAAACCTATTCTAAATCCTATCAAATAATTAGAAGTGCCACAATAAACCCTATAGATTTTTAAATTATGTTTTAGCCCGTCTTTTGGCATCAATGCTCGATTTATTAAATTAACTTCATTTTGAGTTACTTATCTAACATCTATACTTCAATTTTTACGAGTAGTTCACGTTAGAATCGTGATATTTTTAATGTGATATGAAAGATTTTAGTGGTATAAATGTAATAAACAAAGTTTAGGCGGTAGATATGTAAATATATGTGAATTGTGTGGAATGTGTGTAGATGTAGATGCCCCTTAATTTAATTGATTAATAAATATGTTATCAAGATAACTATAATCATATAAGCTTGATATGTAACTCCTTAATAATTAGTTAACTAAAATTAAGTTACATATCAAAATTTGATTAATTTAATAAAATTCTAATTAGTTGTTATTTATTAATCAACTATTAATTAATGAATGTTAAAATATAATTTAGTAAATATTTAGTTTAACAAAATTTTTATTTATAATTAATTAATTAAGTGAATAAATAATTATTAATAAGCATAATTAGAAAAACCTTAAATTAATTTAATTAGATTAAGGATGTATTTAGGGTAGTTTGTGCGTTTCAGGATAAGCTGCAGCCCACAGGTTGACTGTCCGTTTTCGACCCACGGTCTGCATTTAATGTAAAATGTGTACCGCATTTTTGAATAAACGGGCAAAACATCGAGCAAAACATGCTATTCAAACGGCACCGCGGCCCGGCAAGTGCTGCCCCCAAACGGGGAAAAAATTTGCATGCGATAGACGTACGCAGCGCTGCGTGCGATATTGGGGTATACCAAGGGTACAAGGGGGTTACATCCACAGTATAAGCCCTTGTAACCTCCCTGTAACTTACGTGTACCTTCTTAATATATGATAACAGAAGCGCGAAATTTATTTTAGAGTACAGATAGGTTACAGGAAGTTACACGGAGGTTACAAGGAGTTATACCGTGAATGTAACCCTCTTGTACCCTCGATATAACCCCAATATTGCACGCAGTGCTGCGTACGACTATGACACTCAAATTTTTTCCCCCAAACGGGCCCTCAATAACCGCACAGAATATTTTTCACGCCAAACAGCCGCATAAGTCTGTAACGAAAAACACAAAGGGAATCGAGAAGAATTACCTCGCAAACGCCAGACTGAACAGAACCCCACGAGCCGTCATGAATCTGAAGAGGTACTCCACATCCAATCCTGATCCCCCTCCTCCCGCCGACCGTCGCCGATACCCACCCGAAGCAGCCGGCGATGCGCCGCCACGTCCTCCGGCGTGCCGGCGGTTGAAATCGTAATCCGCGCGCTTCCGATCATCGATCAGAACCTCGTAGGCCTCGCATGCCTGCTTGAATCTCAGGATTGCTCGCTGCCTGACGAGCTCCGACGACTGGACGTGCCTGTCGGGATGGAAATTTAGGGCGGAGCGGCGAAAGGATTCCTTGATTTCTTCCTTGGTGGCGTCTTTGGTGAGACCTAGAGTTCTGTAATGATCCATGGATGGAGAGAGAAGGTGCGCCGTGCGTGAGAGGAAGGTTAGGGGGTTAGATTAGAGTTTTTAGGGTGGACACGAGAGAGGAAGATTCGGGTTTTTGGGGTGGAGATGGGGAAAGACGCGTTCTCTCTCGTTGCCGCGAAAGGGTTATGTTGAGAATTAGAAGTATGAGCGGAGGAGATGGCGGTCCGGTTCGACTCGATTAATGGCGGTCCGGTTCGATGAATTTTCGCTCGGATTCAGATTGAAATAAATAAGCTAAGTTGAGGGGCTTTTTAAGTTATTGATGGGCTTGAAATATTTTTCTATATAAAACTCATGAATAAAATTGAATATAATGAGTCACGAGCCGATTTTATGCTAGGATGAATCCAAATAACTCAATTTGAGCCGACTAGTTCCGATTTCGAGTTGATTTCAAGTTGAGACAGATCCAAATAACTTAATTTGAGCAAGCTCGTTTAAATTTCAAGCCGGATAGAGCTCAATTTAATTTTGAGTTGAACTGGCTCGAAATGAAATATCACGAGTCATTAGCTGATTTTGAGCCGCACTCAATCCATTCGAACCGATTTTGCACTGACCCCAACTCGACTTGAGATTAGATCTCTAACAACCATACTCATGCACCAAAAATTCTCTGACACAAGAAAAAAAGGAGTATAAAGTTGTATGTTAAGTTTATATTTTATTTTTGAAAATTTTACATGCATGCCACTGATTCCTATGTATTTACATATCTAACCTTTAAACTTTAATTTTTACATACATGTTATCTTTACATGAAATATATATATATATATATATATCTTCTTAAATGTTAAAATAAAGATAGTTTTTGTGATATAAAAATTTTAATTAGTATTAAATGTAAAATATAAAATTTGGGTGGTAGATACGTAAATACATAGGAATTGGATGCATGACAGTATGCATGTAAATGCCTCAATTATTTTTATAAAAATTAAAAAAAAAAATGTCATATATTATATTTATATAAAATTACACAACTGAAATAGTTACAAAACGAATGATACATAACATATTATAGCCACTTGTAAAGATTATTTGGAGCATTTGCATGCTTACCACAAAATTCTTATGGATTTATTTATCTAGCACCTAAATTTTCATATTTACACATTTAATTCAAAATTTTAAACCATCATCTCTCTCTCTCTCTCTCTCTCTCTCTCTCTCTCTCTCTCTCTCTCTATTCCTTTTTTTTTTCAAACACACTAACCAACAGGTCACGGCTTGCGGCGCGCTCGCGCACACACACACAAACACACACAACTTAGGTGGCAAGTTGGTTAACAGCTGCTACGTCAGTTGTAAGTCCCATCTGTCTCGAGTTCGATCCACGTCAGAGATAATAACAAATACCTTATGGGTTGGCCTAGAGGCCTGTTCCCGCCTCTAACTAATCTTTTAATATACACACATACTGACACGCACACACACCTAACTAAGATTGTATCAATGTAATTTATCGTAGATAGTTGAATGATCTAGAATGTTAAATAATGTACAAGAAGAAAAAAGAGCATTAACATATGTATTCCATAATCAACAATTCATTACCTAACTTATTTTTGTTTCTTTCAAATACAAGAAATTAACCATGATGTAAATTCACTTATGATTGATATTAATGGTCCGTTTGGGACAGCTTATTTGAAAACGCCGCCGTACCGTTTGATCCGCGCGTTTCGCCAGCTTATCCGAAACTGCGTTTGGGTTTTTACACTAAACGAAGGCGGCGGGTCGACCCCTGCAAGTGGCCCGCAAGCCACGTTTCAGGATAAGCAAATTATCTTAAAACGCACAAGCTGCCCCAAACAGACCCTAAATATCATCTATCATAGAATCTTAGCTTAAAAATCATAAATTTGATTGTGTCATATAGTTTTTATGCACATATATTAGTGCATAGCTCGATTATTATTAACTTTGTTATGTAAGACATGAATTTACAATTATGCCACTAAATTCATAAGAACTCAAAATCTTTCTATAATTTTTTGTTTGGAAAATTTACATACATTCCCCTCAATTCATATGTTTTTTACATATCTAACACCTAAACTTCCAATTTTGACACATCCCACCTACACAAGAAAACATATATCACTTTCTAGAAGTTAAAATACTGATTTTTTTTATATTTTATATGCAAATTTTAATACATAAGAATTGGGTGATATATTATACCATTTCATAATATAATATTTAAAAAATTCAAAAAAATAAAAAAAATAGCATATTCCTTCGCAAGGATTTGGTTATCACACCCGCAAATATCTAAAAGCACAAACAACAAAAGCATTGTTCATTCATACAATACAACTTATTGCGTGTCGAGATTCGTCATAATAGAGTGACAATTCAATATTTTAGATTGCACGGAGATCCATCACACATGAAAAAATAACAAAAGTAGCAGGAGGAGACTCCAAGATTTTTTATGTGAAAAAACTATGGAAATTAAAAAAAAAATACGAGCCCTAGCCTAATCTAAGTAATTCACAATATGACTGTAAGTATAGAAGTTCACTCTTCTCCTAAATTAGATAATATTAAATTACAATATTGATACTAATTGATTTACAATAATAGTTTAGTTAGCATAGTCATAATTGAGCTATAATAAATGTACTTGATTATGAAGGCTGTAGTTAGTGGTTATAATAGCTACAGTTGGAAGTTGTAGCATTAGTAAACAAACCATAAAGGCATCAGTTTGTTGTTGCAAAGGTGGTACTTGATCATAAAGGTTGTACTAAAAGTCATAGCAATGGTAGTCAACCACAATGATCGTAATTGGTTATTGTAATAACATCAATTAGCCACAGTAGACGTTGTTGAAAGTTGTAACAATATTAGTTAGCCGCATATGAGGTAGTTGATGACAATAATAGCGTCAATTGTCCACAAATGTCGTAGTTAGAAGCTATAACAATCGTAGTTGGCCATAAAGACCATAGTTGGTTATTACAAAAGCAATACATAATTGGCCTCAAAGGCCATAACTAAAAGTCATAATAATACCAATCGGCCACAAAGGTCATATTTAATGATTGCAATAACATTAGTTAGTCACAAATGTCATAATTGAAAGATGCAAAAAAATAAAAGTTGATCACATAGGTCGTAATTGATGACTATAATATCATAAATTGTCCACAGAAGTCGTACTCATAAGTTATAACAATAGTAGTTGGTCACAAAGAAAGTAACTGATGATTATAATAACATCAATTGGCCACAGAGTCCATAATCAGTGATTGCAATAACAAAAGTTCATTGTAGAGACCATAAGCGGTGGTTGTAATAGCTATTGTTGGTGACAAAGCTCGTAATCAGTGGAAGTTATAGTGGCAATTGGCCATAGAGGCTGTAGTTAGTGGCAATAGGTGGTGAAACTGATCTATCGCTATGGAGGCTAGAAGTTATTGTTGGATCTTCAACACATGTGTTGCACTTTATAGTTGGGCAGCAATCAAGGTCGGCCAGTGGTGGTCAAGTGTGGCTGACGAGAGGTGGTCGATGTTGGTCGACAAAGGCCAAAAGTTATTGCAGTTTCTTCAGTCTAAAACAAGCTCTGGAATTTCTTTTCTTACTCTCTCCCTTCAACTGAAAGATAAGGTGGTATATTTATAGCCTCTATAGAAAGTACATTTTAATTTTTTTGGTAAATAACTCCCCATTTGATCGAACGACTCATATCAATCCCCATTGATATGGAAATTTTTGGATGATTTCAGTTCATTAATGATCTCAGAATTAAGTCATATTGTGATGAAATTTCTCTCATTGACATGTTCAATTTGACAATAAATATGTCAAATTTAGAGTCTATTTGACCATTAAATTGACGATCCAAAACCCCAAAAAATATTTTAATGCTTGATCTTACTCAGATTGAAGCAATTTAGGTATCATCAGGATCAACTTGTCGAGAAGTCAGTTTGACTACAATTCTTGACATCGAGGCCCTAGATGGCCTTGAAATTAAATAAGAGATATTTATTGCTAAAAAATACATTGAGATTCATGCTAAATGATCATTTTTTAAAAGCACATTATATTCCCCCTATTTTTGGGTGATTTTGTGTTGTCAAAAATAAGAACATTAAGAAATTTGTACCTTGTGAAAATTTGATTTGCCATGAATACTTTGTGAAGTCTTGATTAGATTGTAGTTGTCATAATTGATGGGGGTCGACCAGCCATGGTTGGAAGATGATGAAGGCGATCGAGTGATATTCTAGTGGTGTAGCAGTAATAGGGCAGTGCTATGTACTTGGAAGTGTAGACATGTATGCACGGGTGTGCATGCTCGTTTGTACAAGGAAAAAAAAATGGCTATGCATTAAGGACGTTGTAGGGTCCACCGATGAACGAGAGCAACATCAATGGGCGCACTCATGGTCGCGCTTCCACGCACTTGCACCAGCGACCGCCATGTGCGACGGCAGGGCTACAAACTGGGCCTGGTTGGCAAAGCACGTTAGCGCAAGTTTGCCCGACTGCCAGCGAACCAGATCGGGCACTAGATAAGGATGATGATGTTAATTAAACCTTTATGATTGATAATTTATTAATGGTAAGTATCATAACTTGTTAGCAAAACTTTATATATATATATTATTTTCACTGACCTGTTTTTCATATATAGTAATTCGCATTGGTGGCATATTTTTATTGTGATTAACATACATAGCACCATAAACTTATTTATTTACATATCCAACACCCAAACTTTATATTTACATATCCAACACCCTAAACTTTTAAAATATTCAAATCCAACACTCCGTCGCACGCTACCTTCCTTTTACGAACTCTTGTGTTTAGCCACCCTCCACCGCCACCTCTACTTACCGACCGACTGACTTCACCTCAGCATCAGAGAGCTTACTGCTCACCTGCACCAAATGCCTCCTGCAACCCCCATTAGTCTGGCCCTTCCCATCTCCTCATATAGCCAAGTCCTATCACAATGAGCTCACACACAATACCAATACAGGAGCTCTTCTTCCCCAGCAGCTGCCTTCACTCCTCTTTGGACGTGCAACCACTTATTTAACACTCTTGCTTTTGTTATAGAGATGCATGCAGCCTCCCGTGGTCAATCCCCCTCTTTGTTCTGCCTCAAGCAATCCAAATTCAGCACATCTCCTTCACCCTAGCCTCATTTCTCGTGTTTTCTTCCATATTCTCATCTCGCACGCAACATCCCCATCCTCCTCTCACAACTCCACTCTTCCCCTCTCTGCCAAAATCACAGCTAGGCTTCGATCGAAAAAACAATAATGTTCATCAAATTTCTTTTAAAAGTTACGTTTGTCGAACAGGAAGAGACAAGCCACTATGAAAAATGGTGAAATTTTATAGTTTTTCACTATACCTGACTACCTACATCTGTTAGAAAGTTACGGTCCAACTTTTTCACCAAAAATAATAATAATAATAGCCACCGCAGCTTTTTAAACATCTGCTTCTTCAAACAACTGCAACTGACCCAAACAGATCCTTAGTTGACATTTTTAAACATCTGCGTAAATATATCGGTTTGATAGTTCAAAAAAAAATCACCCAAATAGTTGATTTGTAAATGACAAATTTTGGCTGGTCAGTATGTAAATGCCTCTTTTTTTAATGTGATGTGAATAATTTGTGCGGTATAAAAGCAAAAAAAAGAACGTTAGATATATAAATACATAGGAATCAGGTGGTATGTATGTAAATGCCCCTATCATAAGATATCAATCGACTGAATTTACAACAGCTTTAGAGAAGCCAGAAGAACAAGAATAAAAATTATATAAAAAAAAACATAAATTAAGCATGCATTGTTCCTGAAAAAACTGACACAAATTTCAAAAACTACGTTCAGAAATGTAAGTTGCAGTATCAAGAGTTACAAAATTTAAATACTCGTCACCTTATTACTGTTACTGCCGGTGCTCCTTCTCCATCACCTGTACTTTCCAAGCTCTTGTTTCTTCTTAATGGCTCGCTGGCCGTGATAGACGAAAGAATCAAGAATACCAGCCACAGTGAAAACACCTTAAGAGAGGTTTTGGGCATTATTTCAGAGATTTTATTATAAATAAAGATGATGAGTGGATCAAAAGGTAAAATATAGTTAAAACTGAGAACAATCAGAACCTCCAATTATGGCACAGACGCTGGTCAAAAAGTGCAGCAATGATTTGTCTTCTTCTGTGAAGATGACCTGATACAGATTACAGAGACTCAGAGAAATTTGATTGGAGATGATAAGAAAAATAAAGGTGTACAAACAAACTGTTGAGAATTTTAGGGCAAAGAAAATGCAAGAATCGACGCAAATCTAGAAGAAACACAGAGATATAAAGAGGTTCGGCAAAGATGTTTACGTCCTCGGGAGCAGAGCAGCGGCTTTTTCTTCGATTTAGAAAAAGAGTACAAGACGTCTTAGGGTTACAATACATCACATATATATATATATAACTCTGACGTACAATATGTAATTACAAAATTATCCTTGTACCGTACCGACGCCCCCGCACCCCAATCCACATAACGAAACTCCCTCGCTCACTCCGCTAGCTCGCTTCGTTCCACTCCAGCATCCGTCCCTTATTTTGTATATGAGTCATACCTAACAAATCTCCACATTGGCCAATATCCAACCCTTCAAGAAAAAGATAACTGCGAGTTTCTCAAATACCAAAGTAGGTTGAGTCACCATGCTTGTCTAGCAACTGTGAATATTCAACAAGTTCAAGCAATGCAAGAACTTGTTGATAGTAACTGGTTTGGTCAACATATCAGCTGCATTCTCATTATTATGAACCTTCTGCAACAGTATCTCACCAAAAATAATTAATTTTTAAATCTTATGGTACACCTGGTTCTTAACCAGATAAAAGGCACTTTGTTTATCACAATGCAACTAAACTCCACCTTGCTCAACACCCAGATCCTTCACTAGCCCAGTAAGCCGTAAGACTTCTTTAGCAGCTTCAGCTACTGCAATGTACTTAACTTCAGTTGTTGAATAATGTCACAATAGACTGAACTATTGATTTCTAACATATTGGCCCTCCACCAAAAGTAAACACATACCCGATTATAGATCTTCTGTCATCCAAATTACCTGCATAATCTAAATCCACATACCCACAACTAAAATATCATTTTGTTGACTGTCAAAAATGATTTCATGTCCTACTTTACCCTGCAGGTACATGAAAATCCACTTGACTATTTCACAATGTCGTCTTCCAGATTTAGACATGTATTTATAGACTTGACTAACAACATGAGCCAAATCAGAGCGAGTATATATCATTGCATACATCAAATAGCCAACCACACTGGCATATGAAACTTTTTCCATAATTTTGATTTCTCTATTTGTCTTTGGACACTGTTATGAAGAAAGCTTAAAATGATTTGCCAATGAAGTGCTCACAGACTTTATTTTGCTCATCTTAAACCTATTTAGCACTTTCTTAACATAGTCTCGTTGAGATAAACATAATCGTCATGAGTCTCTATCTCTATAAATATTCATTCCAAGAATCTTCTTTGTATGACCCAAGTGTCAAATTTCTGACTCAATAAAGATAAACATAATCGTCTTGAAAATCAAGGACATCATGCATATTCTTTGCAGCAATCAAGATATCGTCAAAATACAATAACAGAAAAATAATATAATCATCATCAAGGCTCTTGACATAAACACAACAATCATATTCACATTACTTGTAGCTAATCTGAATCATGTAGGAGTCTAATCGTTTGTACCATTGTCTTGAAGACAATTTCAACCCATGCAACGATTTCTTTAATCTGCAAACTAGATGCTTCTGTCCAGGTTGAGTAAACCCTTTTGCTGCTCCATGTAATCCTGCTCCTCCAGATCATCATGCAAGAATGCAGTTTTAACATCCATCTGCTCTAGATGTAAATCTCAAATAACTATTAATGTAAGTACTGCCTTGATTGAAGTAAGTCTGACCACAGGAGAAAATATTTCATCATAATATATCTCTTTCTGCTGTGAAAAACCCTTTGCTATCAATCGAGCCTTCCAATTTTCTCCATTTTTTTTCTGATTCTGTTGTTTTCCTTTTGTACACCCATTTGCACCCAATAGTCTTCATTCCCTCAGGAAGTTGAACTAACTCTCATGTGTTATTTTTCTGCAAAGACTCCATCTACTCAACTATTGCTCTCATCCATTTCTCTTTCTCTTGGCTGGTGATAGCTCCTTGAAAGGTGGCTGCATTATTACTGCTGATGAGAAGTGTACAAGAGACCAAGTCTTCATAACCCAATCTGCTTGGAGGGTTTATATTGATGTGTGACTGTCTCTCTCTGACTAATTTGTAATTCTGCAAGTAATCTGTAATTGAATCACCAGGTGTTGAATTTGAACTTTCAACTCTCTTAATTATTTCTGGATGATGTTCTGAATTCATCTGCACTGTATCTGAACTGAAACTATTCTCTGGCACATTGTCTTTATTCTGTTGCAACATGGACTGTTCATCAAAAATAACATCGCTACTAATCATCATCTTCCTTGCAATCAACTCTCAAAACTTGTATCCTTTGACATCTTTCTTGTAGCCCATAAAGATGCATTTTTTGGATTTTGGATCAAGTTATGATTTTCATCTCCATACACATGCACATAAGCAAGACAACCAAAAATTAGTAACTCGTGAGTGATCAAAATTAACTGAATTACATGTTCATACCTCTTCTACAACTTTGTCACCCAATGATGCTGAGACGATCTATTGATGAGGTAGCACGTCATACTCACAGCCTCTGCCCAGAAGCTTTTAGAAAGCCCTGCATTCAGTTTCAAGCATCTTGCCCTTTAAATTAAGAACATGTTCATCCTTTCTGCAACGTCATTCTGATGTGGTATCTTGCGCACTGAAAATTGTCTCTGAATCTCTTGCTACTCACAAAATTTCTGAAACTGGGAATCTGTGTACTCTGTGTCATTATCAGTTCTCAAATACTTGATATTTCTATGAGTTTGATTCTCCACCTCAGACTTCCTAGCTTGAATTTGAGGAATACTTCAGTTTTCTGCTTCCAGAAATACACTCAAATTTTTTCGGAGAAATCATCAATAAAGATAACAAAATACAGAGATCCTCCCAATGACGATTCATTGAAAAGACCCCATACATCATAATGCACATAATAAAAAATCATTTTTTTTGTGTTTTCCAATCATGAAATTGATTTGTCTGTTTTTCAAGAACACAAAACTTACAACAATCGAGCTTGTAACTTTTTAACACAATGCAACAAATTTTTTTATGCAATTCATCCATCTCATGTTCGCTAAAATGACCAAGATGCATATGCCACAGTATTGTATTATCATCATCATCTGACTCTACATAATGAGTTTCACCTACAATTGTACTTCCCAATAATTTGTAGATATTACCTGTAATTAAATTTCATTTCATCACGGTCAGTACACCCTTAATAATTCTGATAGTTTCATTATCCTCATCTGTTTTAGGAATAAAACTATTTCTATATAAAGTGTCCCAGGAAATCAAATTCTTCTTCAAATCTGGAATATGTCTAACATCACATAATGTTATAACAGTGTCATATACAATCTTAATCCTGACATCACTAATACTAACAATATTGCAACATTAATCATTGCCTAAATAGACAGAGTCAGAATTAAATGACTTGTATGAAGTAAATCACTTCTTATTAGGTGTTATGTGATAAGAGCATCCTGAATCAAGAATTCATGCATCTATGAACCAAGTTGATGAAATTGAAAGCATATCACCATCACTGTAATCTGAATTGTCACTCTGCACCACATTTGCAAACTTAGATGATGCATTATGTTTCTCCTCAGTCTGTTTCTTGAGCTTTGGACAATCTTTCTTCATATGACCCGACTCCTTGCACTTGTAGCAATGAATCGTTTTTTTGTATTTAGACTTTGATCTGGAATTTTGTCTTCCAGAACCTTAGTTCTATTTCTTCCTTCCACAATCCTAATTACCCTTAACATATAAACTATCACCATAAGAGTTACCCTTACATTCTGTTTCCACTGGTTGTGAGCCAACAATGTTGTAGTAATATCATCAACTTTGATTGTTTCTTTCTCATATGTAAGACTAATCAACAAGTGTTCATAAGAGGAAAGCAATAAACACAATAGAATCATTGTTCGGTCTTCACCATCAATACTTACATTAAGTTGTGATAAATTTGTGATTAATTGATTGAAGACATTCACATGTTGCGGCAGTCAGAGTCTTCTTGCATCTTCAGCCCATACAACTTTTACTTCAAATACAATTTATTTGTTAGAGATTTGGACATAAACTAAGTTTCCAATTTCTTCCATACCTCTCCTGGAGATTTTAGATTCATAACATGATACATAACCTCATCTGTCAGACATAAGCGTATGGTTGCTGCCGCTCGTTGTTACAATTCTTCTCAATCTTCATCCTCCATTGTATTTGGTTTCGTTGCCCACAAAGCCTTCAAGATCTCTTGTTGCACCAATAAATCATTTACCCTCGTTTGTCACAATCTGAAGTTACTAGTTCCATCAAACTTCACCACTTCGAATTTTGCACCAGACATTGTCATCTGAAACTACAGTTGCCGCAAACTTCTCCTGCGAATTCCTCTGCTTTAGTTGTTGATTTGCTCACCCAAATTCCTTCGTACAAATCCTTAACCGACCCCAAACTCATTCTCAAACTCGCTCGCTCCGCTCTTTGTTCCGCTCCAGCATTTGTCTCTTATATGATATATGAGTCATACCTAACACATACCACTCAATTTCTATGTATTTACATATATATCAAGCATGTAAAACCCATTTTTTACATATATGCCGCCTTACGTAATGAGAAGAAGATTTATTTCACTTTTTAAAAGTTATTGTGGTATTTTTAAATGAACTAAAGGATTCTGCTGGTATAAATGAAAAAAAGTAAAGTTTACGTGTTAGACATGCAATAGATAATAATTGTGTGGTATGTATGTAACTTCCCCTAAGCAAAATGATGAGGGTGGGCTTTGGCATAATGTGTTGAAAAATAGGAGAAACCAAAATCATTATTGAGAATGGAAGAGAATAGAAACCAGAAAAGAAGATTAATGGGGAAAAACACATAGGAACTTGCCACAAAATTTTCAAAAGCAGCAAGAAAATCATTCTTCAAACAGAGCTATGGTGGCAATTTGAAATATAGAGTAAGTCGAAAGCTAGCTTAAGCAGCCCCTTAGGCTGTTACAATAGCTGAAATTATTGATGATGAACTTCTTAGATCCAATTTTTTGCACCATGGTATTTGATACATACCATCCAATTCTGTATATTTACATATCTAACATCTAAACATTACCTTTTACATATATGCCATAAGGTAGGGTGGCATATATGTAAAAAATTGAAGTTTAGGTTTTATACATAGAAATTAAGTGGAATGTCTGTAAATCTTCGTAATATTTATCATCCCAAAATTCTCTCAATGTTGGGTTGCTGTATTCTCTACGGCTATATAATCTTAGACAAATGATTTTCACACCAGAAAAATTCTTCATATAACTTTTCCATCTCTTGCAACAAGGAAAAATGTCAAATTTGAATTTCAAAAAAAAAAACCATGGCTTCTTGACCATGGCTTCTTGATGGAGTCTTCCTATGAAGGCAGCATAGTACAATGGGGCTCCAAGAGAATTTAGTTCATGCACTCAGCAATCCCATATTGTTTTAGTGGCTGGACCAGTTGTCACAATATGTGTGTGCGCGTGTGTGTGCGTGTGTGTTTATATTTATTTATGAAGGTGACATAATATAATGAAACATCTAAGACATAACACAAACGAAGTCCCCCAAAACATCCATGCCTACAAACTCCGAACTTTTTAGTTTAGGATACACTTTCAACTAGATCAAAATTAAAGTGTATCCTAAATTTGAAAGTTTTTCTTTGAATAAATGTCCACAAAACTTTCTTACTCATGTGTCTCGTCATTCAATGCCACATGTTAAGTCAGAACTAATAAGTTTTTTTTCCCCATTCAGAACTCGAGTTGATTTCATAGTTGCTTCGGCTATTTGATTTTGAAGTCAAGATGCAATCTTCATCCAGTTATCCAATAAATATAAATTTTAATTTTACTCCTAGAATGTGCTTCATCTTATGAAGCTTCCACTTAATTTTACTTATTTTTTTAAATTGCATGTCACCAACACTCATAAAGCTCAAATTCTTACCACCAATCATGAAAACTTTCCATCAACAAGAAGCCCTTAACCCACGAAGTGGGGTCCGCTACATGAATCTTTTTTCACCATTGTGTCGATATTTTCATTTAATTCCAGGTTCTTATGGGAAGTTGAATGAAAAAAAAGCGAGTTCACCTTGATAGGAGAGAAGTCATAATAGAAGTATATCCCTGCTGGTGACCTAGGAAAAACATTTCCATCTCTGTAATGCTCTGTCACCGAAAACTGCAACAGGAATCGAGGTATTATGATACATCACTAGAAGGAGAAGCGTGGAATAATTACTGCTATTTACCTGGTTGGAGTGGATCTTCCGTCCTCTGATATCTCTGTAGATTGTAGGGACGACCTGAAAAACGAAAAAAGTATTCAAACCAGAGATCTCCAAAATGATCACACTATAATATCATCCATAGTCAAGGAATCGGTCGGGTAAATGGAATGAAATGAGAAAAAAATCATTGAACCCACTTTGATGAAATATTGATATATCCCAGACAACCCTGGTTCTTTCCATCGTGCACTGGATTTTGGTTAAAGCCAGAAGTCAGTTAAAGATATGCAACACCAAACAATAAAGCATGTAGAAGGATGTAAGAAAAAAAATTAAAAAATATTTTGTGAGACATACCCATCAAGCGGGTTTACAACACCTGGAAACTCCTTTCCAAATGAGAGGTGATTTATTGAGTGACTGATCTGATTTTTTTATAGAAATGTAAGAATAGAGCTATAATAGAAAATGATAGCACAAGATAATAAAGACATAATGTGCAAAGTAAGATGGAACAATTAAAATGAAAGTGCAAAAAAAATGGTTTACATTGAAGCTTCCAAGTTGCAAGTCCAATATCTCTGGCACAACAAGGTTAGGGTGGTGGAAGCTCTTTCCACAAGCAAAGTGGAAGTTTCCAGCTACTTTGCTGACTTCCAAGAAGCCCTTTATGTTGCATCCTTCACCCGTTTCCTCTTTAATCTTTCGAACAAAGCCCTCTCTCTTGCACTAAAATATGAAAAGCAGTTTAATATTTTCCTTTAAAATAATCCAATGTAAAAATAAAAAAAAAACGTGCCTAATAATTGATTGACCAAGCATGTTAAAAACATCAATTTTAAAGAAATTCATTGAGTTGACACAATGACGTTCAACAAAACTTAAATCAATCTTTTAGCACTAAAATTCATGCAATATTCGCATCACATGAATATGGATATACATTAGCAATTTATGTTATCGTCTAATGCCCTTAATCTTCGTAGCATTTAATGGTGGTATTCAGAAGCTCCATTTCCTTGTCAAGCGTAGCTTGAGATCTAGCAGCCATGTTTATGTCTAAGCGTATTAAGGGACTCTTTAGTTGGTTGCAAAAGTAGTGGGTTGCATTCCTTTTGCACGACTTTTAGGATTCTAGGTGTTTGGCTTGGAGTATTACAAGTTCAAAGTAAAATAAGAATGAATTTAGAAATCATTCCTATGTTCATTTTCAATCTATTTGGATTTCGATTGATTTGGCTGAATTTCAAATACATAGCTCTATGTAAAGTGTTGTCAGTCGTTGTTGGCTTTCGAAGTCGCCGACTGCCGGTTGTCGGGCACCCACCATCGTTGCTTGTCAGCAACTCCGGCCACAGCCACCGACCGCAGCTACCATCAGCCACGCCGCCACATACTACCACCGACCACCTTCGTCGTAGGCCAGCACCGTCCCGCTGCCATAGGCCTCTACCTCTAACCATTGCCACAACCGCCGCCATTTGCAACCTCCAGCCACCACCATTAATATATAAAATACATACATATTTTGAAATATATTGTCTTCATTTTACACCAAACCAAACAAAAATATATATAAAGTTGTACCTTTATTATACTTCAAACCAAACAATTCTAAAATATTACAAATACAATACATTACTTTTGTAATGTATTCATTTTACACTGAATTATTTTTTCAGCCGACCAAACAACCTATAAGCCAAACAATAGTTGGCCATTAGTTGAGCATTAATTTATAGAAAAATTTGCATACATACCGCACAATTCTTATGTACTTACATATCTAAGACCCAAACATTAAAGTTCACATGCATAACACTCAGATCTTTAATATCACAACAAAAATGCCACCATCACCTACTTTTAAAAAACTAAATACATATTTTCATGCATATGTTTATCACACCAGTGTTATAAATGTAAATATGAAAGTCTAGATGTTAAGTATGTAAATATAAAAGAAATGTGTTGTATGTAGGAAATTTCCCTAATTTATATTCATGCATATCATAATGTTGAATACTTCTATACTTCCTTCTCTAATTTATATTCATGCATATCATAATGTTGAATATTTTTATGCTTCCTTCTCTATGCCCTGCCTACCCATTTTTCGCAGGCTGAAAAATAACAATATTTAGGATTTAATTGAGCATTAATAAAGGATAAAAAGTCTGAAATATTTTATATTTATGATGTGAATGAAAAATCACATTATAGAATATTTTTATACTTCCTTCTGTAACCCCTGCCTGCCCAATCTTCACAGGCTATTTGGTAAGGGAGGTAAGGTTCATGATATTATGTTTACCTATAAAACATCATGAGAGAATGTACATGCTATGTATTACAGGATTTTATTTTATGTTGAATTATTACTAGAAAATAACTTTGCTCATATAAGCAGCAGCAGCAACAACAACAACAACAACAACGACGACGACGACGACAAAGCCTTCATCCCACTAAGTGCGGTCGGCTACATGAATCCTTTTTCTCCATTGCTCAAATAAGCATGTTATAAAAAATCAATAGAAGGGGTGGATCAGGAAGAGACGGATGGGAATTGAGAAAAATAAAGATAAATTTTGCACTCAGACACAAATTTCAATAAAACTAAAAAGAAAGATCTGTCAAGAAAATTATAATTGCTGAGAATACACAATCAGTCATTTAGAACATTATTAGATACAAATTCTAATTTTGATCCAGTATAGCAGAATTTGTCAGAAACACTTTTGAAATATTGATATTTACAATAATTTTTTGTTACATGAATTACTTTTAAATAAGTTCGGGAATTGTGTACAACTTCCGTCACATTCAGCTCAAAAGCCCAAAAACCAGAGTCAAGCCATTTGTAAAGGGTATACCAAACAAAGTTTAACATAGAAATTAAAATAATTAAGAGTGTTTTATCATAATTTTAGAATGATGAAGGATGTTTAAGGTTTAGGGTTTCTAATGCACAATGATGAATTGAATGTAAATCATATATGGAATACTCGGGATTCGTTGTTCAAAGGATTAACAATTAAAATAAAAAAGGAACTCTTAGTTTTGACATAAAAATTGTATAAAAACTCTAGGGTTGTGTGCATGGTAGCACGCCCCTCTCCATCTTCTTGGGTTCTTCTCGGTAGAAGCACAACATATTACTTTCTAATAGCTGATCTCTCTGAAAACCTCTCCTAATTTCTTCTCGAACATTCATAACATCAATCTATAGTTTTCTTCCCTCCTTGCAGAGTAAGAAAATTCTTTTCCATCCTATCATTATTAGTCCAGCTCGCATCTTTACAAAAAAAAAAAAAAAAAAAAAAAAAAAAAAAAAAAAAAAAAGGGAAAAACAATTTTTTTGTTTTTTATATCATTGAAATGACATCATTAAAAACAAATTAAATGAATAAAAGATTGAACAATGATTTTGGAAACCAAATCAAGATATCATATTTTTCACACTATCATACTTGTTGTGTATGTGTATGACATAATTATAACTGGTAATGATGAGGCGGAGAGTACTCAACTGAAGGGAGCATTGGGGAAACAATTTAAGGTAAGGGATTTAGGATAACTCAGATACTTTCTTTGAATTGAAGTGGCCGATGAACTTGAGGGGATGGTCATATCCCGGAGAAAGTATGTACTGGATCTTCTTACATAGACAGGTATGCTAGATTGCAAATTTGTAGTTTCTCCAACTGATCAGAACATCAAGCTCAGTACAGAGGAAGGTGAATCAGTTGATCGTGAGAGGTATCAGATGCCGGTAGGCCGCCTGATTTATCTGTGTCACACTCCTCCCAATATTTCTTTTGCAGTAAATGTGGTGAGCCGCTACATGCATGATCCAAGGGAATGTCATATGGATGCAGTATATCAGATTCTGAGGTATCTAAAAAGAGCACCGGGAAAAAGGTTGATATTCAAGAAGAATGAGCATGAAGATATTGAGGGTTCTTGTGATTCTGACTTAGCAAGTTGTGCTAATGACAGATGATCCACATCTGAATGCCGCATGTTGTAGGTGGCAGCTTGGTATTGTGGAAGAGCAAGAAACAATCAGTTGTAGTAAGATAAACAACAGAGGTAGAATACAGGGCCATGGCATTAGGACTTGTTGAGAAGATTCGGCTGAAAGCTTTGTTGGTTGAACTCAAAGTGGATTAGGGAACTCAAATGAAGTTGTGGTGTGACAACAAGTCGACAATCAACATTGCTAACAACCGGGTGCAACAGGATAGAACTAAGCATGTGAAGATTGATAGATTTTTCATCAAGGAGAGGCTGAATAATGGATTGTTGGAACTAAGTTATGTAGCTACAATAGAACAGATGGCTGACTGCCTCACTAAAGAACTTAGCTCAGTGGAGTTAACTAGATTATGTGATAAGATGGGCTTAGCAATTATCTTTCACCAACCTTGAGGGAGAATGTTGAGATTTGTATCTATTGTAGGGTTCTTTTTGTAAATAGAAAAAGTCTAGGTTTTATATAAGCCAAGTGTTAATGAAATGAGAAAGATTTTTATCAAAATTTTCTTCTTCAGTGAGGAACAATGAAGACATGAGAGTTTCAGTTCAGAGGAAGGAGGCAATCACAAGACATGTGAATGAAAGAGGAGTGGGGTTACAGGAGTCTGTTGTCATGCGGCTTTTTGGTTCGAACACAGAGATAAATAACACAAATGGTTTTCGATACTGAACAATGGATATACGGAAAATAAAATTTGACGTTCAAAAAGGTTCAAATTTAAACCAATATTAATTAAGAGTTTGATTAAATCCAATTAATAAAATTAATAAATTTCAATAAGTTTTTTAAAATGTCAGCATAAGTCAAATATCAAGTTAATTTGTTAAGGTCTTGACCAAGTTTACTTGCTTAAGTAATAACCAAGCAGTTCAAAGATCTAAGATAGAATATGAGGCAGTGCTATTGTTCATCGAGCTCAATGATAAGCAAAAATAGGAGAAGAAAACAAGAGCACATTCATGCTTGTGTACCTGATCGATCAGATCCTGATTTGTTAGAGCCCAACCTCTACTTCTATATGCCTCCTGAACTTCTTCACATGAATTACAGCAATGATCATCTGACTACAACAGAAATGATCATTATTGTATTAATGAATCAAAAAATATATTGCTTTAAAGCGCACTCATATTTCAATTTGTGAAGTACAGAAAAGTTTTTTTTTTTTTTGACATGTAACATTTAAAAATGAAATGATAAGTAGCGTGCATACCTTCTCAGCACCAAAACATGACCCACAGTAACTCTCACCATGCTCAAGTCTTCCACCATGCCTCTGCAAAGGTCTTTCAATCTGTAAAACATATTAGACTCTGATTATGATTCTAATAAGATCTTCAAGGGCACAAGAAAAGTTCAAAAATAGAAAAGAAAGCACATTAAGACAGCTCTCACTAGATTATATTCTAGTCTGCAAGATACTGCCGTTGTTATATTTTAAGAATTACCACCTTTCAGTTCGGTCCAGAAGGGTTGTTTGGCTGGATACATCTAAGATTTCTAGAAATGCTATAGTTTAATTTTGGATATATCTAAGATTTCTAGAAACGCTATAGTTTGATATGCAAAAGCTTTTTGATTGGATGAAAATCAAATAAAATGAAACTAATTTTTCTTTTTAGGACGCATTGTAAATATGAAGTAAGCAATATTTCTCTCTCCTTTTAGAAGTTGTCAGGATGCATTTTATGGAGTTTCCCAATGTTATTCAAGGAAAGGCATTTTATGGAGGTCCACGGAAAACTCTAAGGCAATGGTAGAAACAAAGAAGGCCAAATAAAAAGACAGGCTTATCTTATTGAATCAGAGAGCTCAACTCAAAATAAATAAACAAGGAACTTCCAAATATTCCTATAAAAACCTTCTAAGTAATGGTTTCTAGCGCAAAATACATATTTATTAGAAAGATGACTGGACAAGTTAGAGAAAAATATAGGCTATATCTACTTCAAGATAATAATCACTTACCCTTCCCCTTCAAAATACATTCTAAAAAACGACATCTTTGGATACCATCATCATAGAATGGAGCATCCCATCTTTAAAATCCTACAATTTATTGTTTCATTCTCTTGGTATTAAAAACTTTCATAATGAAACTTGTGACTTTGCTAAACATTACAGAGTACCCGTTTACAAAAGTAAATCTAAATATTATACTGACTACTTCTAGGATAATTCACTCAAATATTTAAGGACGTTCAAAAATTCCAAATAATTATAGAGCTAAAGGATTTATCACATTCATTGACGATTGAGCTCAGATGGTGTAAATTTATCTTTATCAAAGAAAAATTTAATAACAATCATATTATTTCAATTATTATCTCTTTATTAAAGAATAATAATATGGTGTTAATTAACAAAAAGATAGAATTAATAATACTTGAGATAATATTAATGATTTCTTGTCAAAAATATATATATTCATTAATCCTTGTGCCCCGACACTCCACAATAGAATGGGATGGCAGAAGAAAAAATCGATGCTTATGAAAGTTACCAACTAACACTTGTCTTTCAAAATCAAATTTTCAAAAAATATTGGGATAATTTTTTATGACCTCCATATATCTCATTAATAAAATAACCCCAAAAGTAAATGATTTTAAAAATTACTCAAACTATCTTGCTAAAATTTTCCTACAAATTATTTCTCAAAATTACTATTGAAATTCAGAATAATGCGGAATATTTTTATTGATACGGAAGGGGTACAAATAACTCTTACATGAATCAAAGAATAGAAAAAATAATAAAAAAGAAATAACAAGAAAGAAAATATATAACACATAATATCTCATATTAATCAATTCATATTAATTATTTGGAGATAAAGAAAACATAATAAAATAGAAAAGCCTAAAATAGGTAAGAAAATAATCCAATCTAAAAAAATAAATCTAAAATAGGAAATGAAATAAAATTATATCTAGGAAATAAATATGATCCTCATAACTTCTAAGAGAAATGAATTATTTCCTAATATATCTCTAACACTTTACCTCAAGTTGAAGCATGGTTGAAAAACATGTTCAACTTAGATTTGAAAACATTAAATAATGGGCGAGGGATAACTTGTGAAGTAGAACTTGATGTTTTCATCTCATGTTGCGGATGTCTTTGACTGTAGTTCCTGCATTGTCAGTGTGTAGGCGGAAAGCTACTATATGTAATGTTACAGGGGAGTTTGCGGGGAAATAGACAAACTGCAGGAAAAACTGAGAATTAGTTGAATGTGGTTGTGTTTGACTATAGCTTCTGCAGTATCCGTAGGTAGGCAGAAAGCTCATACAGGTAATACTGCAGAAGAGGTTGCAGGAAAGTAGACAAACTAGAGAAAAAAACTAAATTCTAACTGATTGTGATTGTCCCTACAGTTTCTGCAGTGTTTGTAGGTAGACGGAAGGTCCTTACAGGTAATGCAATGGGGGAGTTGGCAGGGAAGTAGAAAACCAACAGAAAAACCTGTAGGGTATGGCCCATAGAAAAAAAAAAGAAAATCTTCGGAGGTAGGCCTTAGTGCAGGAAAAAGCTCCGAAGAAGGGTCTGCTACTGGAAAAACTCTGGAGGTAAACCTTGCTATAGTAAAAGCTCCGGAGAAGGGCATGATACAGGAAAAAACTCCAGACGAAGGTCTGCTTTAGAAAAAGCTCCGGCTGAGGGACTGTTGCGAGAAAGATTCTAAAGGGCTTGATGCAGGAAAAAAATTTTAGAGGAGGGTTTGATGCAAGAAAATGCTTCTTAAAATGTACAAGAGAAAGCTCCGCAAGAGGGTATGCTGCAGAAAGAATTATGGTGGAAGGTCTGCCATAGCAAAAGGTCTAGAGAAGGGTCTGCTATAGGGAAAAGCTCCGGAGGAGGGTCGACTACAGATTTCAGGGAAATTTTCGTGCTAGCAGAGAGGATTTCCTGCGATAAGTACCTGCAAGGAGAGTTTCGTATCTTCAATGGCGAACTTCTTGCTGGAGAATTTTACGTTTGTTTTCTTGTCTCTCGTTCTATCAGATTATTTAACTGAATTTGTACCCTATGACTATTTTGCAAGCATCGAGTGTTTGCCTTAGCCTCTCAAGCTTCAATATGGAGGCGACATCATTCTCAACCCAGACTTCCAGAGAGGGATTCAAGAATGGTCCACCTTCAGCTATGGCAATACGGCAGAAAGGACTTTCAATAGTGGAAAGAATTACCTTGCTTTCACTCACAATAGAAGCAGACGCTGCCAGAGTGATTCACAAAAGCTTCTTCTTCATAAAGAGAACCTCTACACTTTCTATTCTTAGTTTCAGTCTATGGAGAGATCTGCTGATGTTGTGGTTGTCTTCAAGACTAGTGGGAAGTTTATCCCTGTAAGAGCAATTGAGGCTATATATGTTGTTGGTCCATGCTCAAAGGAGGTCGTTCTGTTGACGTCACTGCACCTGTTGAACTCTTTTTCGAGAGTAACAGCACTGCAGCAGAGATCTGGGTGGATAGTGTCTCCTTGCATCCATTTACCACAGAAGAATGGAGGTCTCATCAAACGTAAACCATAAAGCAGTCGCGTATGAGGCTTGTGAGATTGAAAGTTGTGAACGCCAATGAACTATCCTTCCAAATGCCACCATCTCCATCAAACAAATAAAGCAAGGTTTCCCATTTGGTTGTGCCATTGCTCAACCCATACTCACCAACACCGCGCACCTGAACTGGTTTACCTCTCACTTCACTGTGACCACCTTTGAGAACGAGATGAGGTTGTACAACAAAGAGAAATACCAAAAGGGAGTACCAACGGCTAGTTCCTGCAAGGAGTCGTTGGCGAAAAAGGATGCAAGAGGGAGTTTCGGTAATGGGAAAGGTTGCAGAAGGAAATTCCGCAGGCTCTAGAGTTTGTTTCAAAGCTCTGATACCAAGTTAAAATTCAGAATAATGTGGAATAATTTTATTGATATGAAAGAAGGTATAAATAAACCTAATATGAATTTTAAAATTAGAAAAGACAATAAAAAATAAATAACATAAGAGAAAAGATATAACACCAAATATTTTTAATTAATTAGTTCATATTAATTATTTGGAGATAAAGAAAGTAATATAAAATAAAAAAACCTAAAATATGAAAGGAAATAAATCCAATCAACAAAATAAATCTAAAATAGGAAATGAAATAAATCAAATCCTCATAACTTCTAACAAAAATAAATTATTTCTTAATATATCTTCTAATAATTTCCTCCAAAAATGTTGTGCCACGTGTGATATGTTAATATCCACAAATAACAATTAGATAAATTTGATTCCAGAGTCGTGAAAACCAAACCAGACATCAAACCGAAAGAAGGAGAGGTTCAAGGTTTTTATTGGTTCAAACAGAGTTGAACCGGATAATGCAATAAATATAAATTTTAATTGAATAATACCTATATATAAAATAACACTATAATAATACAAATATAAAAAAATAAACAGATAAAATGCAACCATGAGTTATTATTTTATTATAAAATCATGAAGCTCTCTTCCATGAGAGTAGCCAATATTATTCCCATAAAGTTGGCCACACCCCC